CATCATCATCATCATCATCATCATCATCATCATCATCATCATCATCATCACAGAGCAGCTGCAAAATAGACATTCAAATCGATGTATGGATGCGTAGTCACTTCAAACCTCGTCCAAATCACTGAACGGGAAGCGAACACAAACAGTACTCCTCAAACCGAACGACCCTCCCCCAGAATCGTCTGGACAAATTCGACGAATGGAACAAAATGCCACAAACTGACATAATACACGACTCACGCCACAATAACCACAACGGCCACGCATCGAGCGCAACAAACTGACCACAACCCAAAGTGGCGAGAGCCAGACAGTTAGAAGCCATGCTGGTCAGGGTACCCGCATTCAACGGGCGTCAATATCCCAGACACGAACCGTACAATTCCAAACGCGACAAGTAAGCCAACCAGTTGTGCAAATAGCACACACCGAATAGGATTAAGGGTGCGTGGAAATGATTATGAGGTGTCAGCAAGCTCCCACCGGATAGTTGAAATGCGTCCGAGACGGAATACCAGTCTAGACTGCATCAAGATACCGTCTCTTGTTGACGATCGGCAACTGCGATTGTACGTTCACGATCGGTGAGAATGGGGAGAGGGACTGTGAGTCGGATCCGCGAGCAGAAACATTCAATTGGTAAAAAAAGAGATTCTAGAATATGGATCGTCAAACCGGAGCAAAAGATGAAAACGACAGCTTAATTGTCCTAAACAATAGGAATGTTGTTTACGGAAAAAAATATATGGTCTAGTCATTAGCAGAAAATGGAAACTTAGAATATGCACTTTTCATTCCAATTTTATGAAATCAAAAATTCACGATTAGCTCGACGAATTGTGATTTTTAGCGTTGGCCTCTGCGTAACTTGAATGCTAGTACTAGCCTGTTATTCGACAGGCTAGTACTAGCGGATGAACCATCATCGACTAAAACGAAAGTGCTGCGATACAGTAGCAATCGATGCTACTTGATAACGTTAACCGGGATACAGACCATGGTGAGTAGTATTGATATCTTACATGCTAAAAACTCCACAGCTGCTAAACCGGATAATAATGCACAGTAATAACAACAAAGGTTCACAGGTTTCCCTGTGCATGTCCAGTAGGGTGGATTACCTGAAATCGTGATTTGTTTTCAGTGCGATCACTAAACATTCATTTAATAGCACCGGAATAGGGAAGATAACCCCAATGTGGTCGTTAAATGGACTTCACCGTCCCGGAAGCCTCCCATGTTCGTAGCTGTTGCTGAGGTAGTTCACTAAGCGACAGGATGAAAAACCTATATCTGAGGTAACGAATCACCAACAGTGAGCTTGTCTGAGGAGGCTGGTAAATCCCGATTACGCAAAATCAATAGTGAAGCGTACAAAATGCACTCAGGGCTACTGAATAAATAGTAACTATGGGAGCCCCATCAGACAGGGCATCGGTGCCAGAATCAAGGCATCATCGTGAAATAGGATTTTTATTCCAAAGGCTCGAGGTGAAATCCTTCAAACCTTCTACTAGTATAATAGTCCATAACAGTTCCATTTCACCTATTCATCGAGCTTGGCAATTTGTTTGCAAACGTTTCATCACCAGACGAGGTAACACGCACTGACGATTTCATTTCGGCTGGCGACAAACAAACAAATTGCCAAGCTCGGTGAACAGGAAAAATGGAATTCAGTTCACCCGAGCTACGAGAACCGATTTGTAATACTTTGTCAACAGATGAGTTGGTGTGAGCTCATTAGTTAAAAGCCTCCGTCTGCAATATATAATGACCAAACAATTCCACAAATATGACCAATTAGTGATTGCTCCTCTTTATCATAATGTAGCTAATGGAAGGAAGAACCGTGCTTGTATATATCAAAACTATCGACTCATATAAATGCCAATCAGGAACAATTAAAACTCACCAGAGAATCCACCAAAATGAATGCAGTCACCCTATCACATTTGATACCATAACGAAACAGATCCGAGCGCAATAGAAGGCATGATGCACGTGAAAAATAGCGCCGGCGTCGAAGACACTTTATCATCGTTGCATGGCCTGGAGCCAGATGGACAGGCCATCTTGACTGGCAGAAGATCCACCACCAAGGAGATAGACGATGAACTTCTTGCTCCTGGTTCCTCAACATGGTGTGGAAAAAAAGCTCATTGCCTTCGATATCGTCTTCCGACTGCTCCTCTTCTCCACTGCTCCCGGTGGTTTCTCATTCATCTCTACTCGCCTCAGCGATATCTGCATTCTCAGGATGATCAGAAACTTGGCTTAACGAACAGACAGCCATTCCAGAATTTTCCACTTTCTCCTGTCTTTCGGTCCATGTAGTACTCGTCAACAATTCGTCGCTCCTCTCAACATTTTGCAAAACGGAAACTGTTGGCATAGGACTGATTTCTGGATTTGCTACTTCAGATTCAGAGAAAATCGCTTGTGAGGCAGCCTCTTTGTTCGCCTCCATGGCACTTACCTCATCCGAACCGGGATTTTGTGGTAGATGGTTACGTGTGTTAGTGTTTGTACTCAATTCAAACGAGGGGTCCTCGTCAGGGGAGTCGTGACGGAAAACACCTTCAATGGTTTGCTGATGTGCTCGATGGGAAAGAATCCAGAAGCCACTGGAACACCTCTGGGTCCTGTCAAATTCCGTCCCAAACAAGTCAGTGGTGGAAAGATCAAAGGACCTTTCATCGTAATCACAAATCATGTCCCGTTGAATGAAACTAAGCTGCTCCGCGTAGAAAAATCGCCGAAAATAGAATAGGAGGTCTTGGACATCCATAACCCCCGATATCGGCATCACAGTCATGTCACGCAGATAGGCGAAGTCAACCGAAAATCCGTCCTCTTTCATGTACGTCTGATCGTTATACAAAGATGAAGCCCATGAACTATATTGTCCAGACAAAGCTTGGAGAAAGTAGTTGTTCAAACTGGAGTGCTGTTGAAACGCAGGAACGATAGAAATACTTGGTTCAATCTACGAAAAATTTGTACAGGAAAATGGTCATCGTTTGGGGAGAAAAACCCCAAAGTTGTGGTAAGCTAATCAACAGTCAAAAAACAAAAATAATCAATTATGGTATAGCATTTATTATGTTGTTCCACAAACTACATCATATAAGCGTTAGATCAAAACGATATAAGCGATTTTCTGCGTGCACTGGTGTACATCATCAATAAGAGTGAGGGCATCCGGAAGATAAATCTCTTGGTGTGCTGATTCT